GGAAGAAGTCCTAGTAGAGTCTAGGAAAATTTTTATGATTAATTAGACACATTCGTATGTGTTAAATTGTTTTGTAATTTTAGGACTTGGGGACTGCGAGACAATACTTGGGACGAGTATGAGTATGTGTGAATAGTAGTAGAGATCTATACTACTGGAAGCACATGACTCACACTTGGATCAGGGAAAGTCACAAGGTTGCCAAGAAGCTAGTAATTGATTCCGTTTTTATTCACGTATGTCGTTACCATCGTTTCGGTAATGACTAAGAAGATGATTGATATTCAGACCCTTTAGGTCATATCGAATCGAGTCCGATTAAGATGAGTATGTTACGTGGTTCGGGGAAAGTTAAGTACAAGGTTTATTGGACCGTTTAAAGTTCTTTAAAGAATTGGGAACCAAGCTTACAAGTTAGGACTACCAGAAGAACTATATGATATTCATAACACTTTCCACATGTGTTATTTGAGGAAGTTCACAGGAGAAGTTCCCGACATAATTCCAATTTCTGAATTAAGGTTGGATGAAAGCAAGAGACTAATTGAAGAACCAGAGGCAATCGTTGACCGTAAGACTAAGAAGTTGCGATGCAAGATGGTCGATTTAGTGCTTGTGCAATGGAAAAACACAAATGGGCCACATCTCACCTGGGGAAAACGGAGAATGACACGATGAGTCGCTATCCGCATTTGTTTGCTGATGTATGATTCCGGGGACGGGATCATTCTAAGGAGGAGAGAATTGTAACGCCTGTGTTTCTGGGCTATGCATTAATGACGATATAACTCGTTTTGAAGTAATAAGAATGAATAGTCTTAATAAAAGTTGTAGTATATGTTACAAGGATTCCGAATATAAAGAATGTCGAAATCCGAGTTATAACGAAGAAGTTATGACCTGTCGAAGTTTCACGACAGAACCGGCACGACACAGCGCGATGTAAATAGTGAATTTACGATATAGCGATATTTGGCTTTAGAGATCTAAACGAAAGTCGTAGAATACGTTAAACCGAGAGCGTGCATAAAGAGAACGCCCAAATCTGACTTCGTATGAGGAAGTTATGATTTTTCTAAGTTTCAGCTTAGCGGTATGCAACCCAAATCTCGAAATTGAGATCGAGTGATGTTTAGCCGAAACAATCTAAACGAGAATCGAAGATCTCGTCGATAGTAGTCCAACGGTAAAAAGACAGACGAAAATGGACGTCAGATGAAGAAGTTATGAATTTCTAACGGAGTTTTCCTGTCCCGGCCTACTAAAAATAATATAATAAAAATAACGTCAAATTTAGCCGACGGAGTCTAAACGAGAGTTGTAGAGCATAATCTCACCTACGTGTGGATATAAAGAACGTCGAAAACGGAGCTCGTATGAGAAAGATATGAATTTCTGAAGTTCGGGGCACGAACCCCGACACTGTGTCAGAGCTCACGACGTGAACATAGGGTTCACGACGTGAACTTAGAGATGATGTCTCCTGGAGCCTGACAGACCCAAGTTGCGATGACGCACCTGATGACGACTGAAGTCACGACGTGAACTTGTTGTTCACGACGTGAAGATCGAAAATCCAGCCCTATAAATAGAAGTCGAGGGCAGCCGGATTTGGTTGCTACTTCACTCATTCTCTCACTCTCTATACCCTCTCTAGCCATCTTTTAACCCCCCCCCCCCCCCTCCCGGTATCATCTCCGATACCCGAAGAGAGTCCCGACGCTCCGAAGATCACGAGAAGAAAAGAGTTTCAAGCCAAAGCTTTGCCCACGAGAAGCCCAGTGTGTGAAGATATCCCGGTTACATCAAAAGAATGGTACTTGAAGAGTCGTAGTGTTGTCCGAGCATCGTCTAATCAAGTGAGTGTATAGTCACTTTCATCTTACACATAGATATGAAGTATTTTATAAAATACGTGTTAGAGAAAAACCCATTTTTACTTGTTTTATTTAGATAACTAGTTTATAACCGTGAAAACCACGATTATAAAATTAAGACAAAATTACAAAAATGGTCCCTGTGGTTTGCCAAAAGTCACAAAGCTTGTGGGAGGGCTCGAACTCATGACCTCCACCCCCCTTAAATTACCAATGCCTTAACCAATTGAGCTAAATGTTTTCTTTGTTTATTCTTTCCTAAAACTAATTTATATAATAACAAAATCGTTAAAACATAAACAATAAATAAATTATAAAAAATGTATTTTAGTCGTATTATAAAAAAAATAGTTTTTTACAAACAATTTGTATGTATTTTTATGTATTTATTTTACGTAAAATATATTTTTTCTCTCTAAAAATATGTTTTCGTATAAAAAATACGTTTTTGTAAAAAATATTTTTTAAAAAAAAATATTTTTTTACAAACAATTTGTATGTATTTTTATGTATTTATTTTACGTAAAATATATTTTTTGTCTTTAAAAAATACGTTTTCGTATAAAAAATAACTTTTTGTAAAATATATTTTTTAAGAAAACACGTATTTAAAAAAAAAATATGTTTTCAGTTATATGTAATTTTTAAAATTCTTATTTCATATAAGCTATTTAAAATACCTATTTCATATAAATTATTTGTTATTATATAAATTATTAAATATACGTTTTAAAAAAATACGTATTTCATATAAATTATTCAAAATATGTATTTCATATAAATTATTTAAAATACGTTTTTTTTTTTTAAATTTGTTATTATATAAATTATTTAAAATATGATTTCAGTTATATGTATTTAAAAAAACATAAAAAACCTATTCGGTTATATATCTTACTTAAAATACGTATTTCATCTTAATCGCAAATTGTAAATCGTATGGTTAAAATGATGATGGAAAGACATAGTGATATATCTTTTTGAAATAAAAATTATTAACACTACTCTTGAAATAAAAAAAAACGGTATAAACTGTTTAGTTACATAACAAAATCGTTGTTAACTTGTTTTTTAATACATATAACCGAAAAAATGGTTTTAGAACTAGCGACCCAAAAAAATTTATACATTTTTTTATTTCATGAGTAGTGTTAATTATTATTATTTCAACTACATAAAAAAAATATTTTACGAAAATGTATTTTTTATATGAAAATGTATTTTTTTAAAGGCGAAAAATATATTTTACGTAAAATAAATGCATAAGAATACATACAAATGGTTTTTAAAAAAACTATTTTTTTTATAATACGACTAAAATAAATTTTGTTTTATTTAAAAAAAGTTATGTAAAAAAATATTTTTTATAATTTATTTATTGTTTATGTTTTAACGATTTTGTTATTATATAAATTAGTTTTAGGAAAGAATTAACCAAAAGAGCATTCAACTCAATTTGTTAAGGTTTTGGTAATTTAAGAGGTTGGAGGTCGAGAGTTAGAATCCTCCCCCTAGCAATTTATTTATCTTTTTCAAAGAAATTTCAAAAATGGTCCCTATGGTTTACCAAATGTCGAATTCAGTCCATTTATACTTGAAAAGATGAAAATGCCCTTACAAATTCAGTCCCTAACGACCAAATATTAACGACGTTAGTAAAAAGGGCCATCTGTGCAAGTTTTGCAAACCACAAGGGCCATTTTCGTCAAAAAAATTAGCAGGGACTAACTTTGTTACTTTTGGCAAACCACGGGGACCATTTTTGTAATTTTGTCTAAAATTAATTAAACTTTTATATTAAAAACTTAAAATTATTAATCACTATTTCAAATAAATTATTTTAAATAAATTATTAATCGTCGATTTAAATAAATAAATGAACTTATATCACCTTATAATATATATTAAGTTTATTTTATTTTTTATTCTAATGTTATTAATTTAATATAATTAGAGTGTGAAGTTTAAAATTTAAAATTTGAAATGAAGAATCAATTATTAATTTAATGTAATTAGAGTGAGAAATGTAAAATTTAAAATTTGAAATGGAGAATTAATAGGTTGACATGTGCCATGATAGGTGGTATATAATATTAATGAGGATTTTTAATATAGTGACACTTGTCAATAGGTGAATAAACTTATTCATTTACTAGTTTATAACCCGTGGAAACCACGGTTATACAATTAATTAAACTTTTAAAATAAAAACTAAAAATTATTAATCAATTGTTTTAAATAAAATATTAATTAAGAGATTTTTTAGTTATATAAATTTTAATCATTGATTTAAATAAATATGTAAAATTATATCACTTTAAAATTTGTATTAAGTTTATTTTAATTTTTAATCTAATGTTATTAATTTAATGTAATTAGAATGAGAAATTTAAAATTTGAAAATTGAAATGGATAATCAATAGGTTTACAAATGACATGCATTAATTAGGAGATATAATATGGTGACAATGACAAAATGAGAATAAAATATGCATTAATTAAGAGGCCTAATAAGATGACACATGTCAAAAGAAGAATAAAATTATTCTTTTATTAGATAGGGAGATTAGAAGATGAAGATGAAGATTAAGATATTAGTAGCAATTTGAATTGTTTACCGTTCCCTGTGTTCGATACCCTACTTACTTGAACTAAAGTGCTAATCGATAGGTACACTATCTTTCGTGTGTTTGTCTTTCTATTTAAGTTAGTAGGATTAAAACTAGTATATTCCACACACATCAATCATGGAGGAGCAGTTCACGTCTTTTTATTTGTAACTTTGGTCCTTTTTAATGGATTTTATTGATGAGATATAAATATGTTTAGAATCTTTCGTTAACTTGGTTTAAAAATTTACATTTTTTTTAAGTAAGTCTTTTAAAACAAAAATTACAACTTTTTTTTTTTTCAAATCTAAATTACACAACTTATTTTACATATTCTTTTATATGTTTGTTTACAAAAAAATTATACATTTTTTTAGACTTCAAACATTTTTTTTTTTCTTTTTTACGAAATAAAACACTATCTCTATTAAAAAAATTATAACACAAAAAGTAATCAACTGTTTATGTTGTTTATATTTGTTTTTTTATGCATCTAATTTATTGTTTTGTTTGGGTTGAACATAACCCTTTGGACCAGGTACCATCGTCATCATCAAGTGATAAACGATCAAAAAGTTATTGTAAACAACAAATAATTACAGTAGGATCATGGTGTAAAGAAACAACAAGTTAGATTGTATTTTTTTCATAAAATGAATATAACAGGCAATAGTAAATAGTTTGTGATACAGGTTCACCCAACCCTAAAACGCATCCTCTGTAATACGACGGCACCTCTCCATCCGCTCAATCGACGCAACTTCTTCCACCCTCTCCATCACCGGTCTCCGGCGCTGCTACTTCCTCGCCGGAACTGCTGTCCCATCGCAGTCTTCATTGCGCCTTCGTCGGAGTTTCCTTCTCCATCACCAGGTTTGTTTTGTTTTCCCTGAAAGCTAATTTTTGGAGTCTCATGAAAGAAATTCTAGATAGATTCTTTAGTTTATGATATTATACATGATAGCTTTGTTATTTCCTGAAATTGATTTTGTGAAGCTGATTTTTGTTAATCTGATGTCTGTGGAGTCTGATATACATGTTGATTCTGATTTTGTGAAATTGAGTTCATGATTTATGTTACTCTGATTTGTACCTTGCACTATGATACAAAAATTTGATATCTTTGTTGTTATTTATGATATGTAGATTGTGTCACAGAAAAAGCAAATCTCAAATGGACAAAAGTATGCTCGGAGATCTGGGGAATCTTCCAGCGGAGGATCAGGCTCGAATGGCCACCATGATCGACCAGCTTCAAATCCGTGACAGGTTCACTAGTCTCTTTTTTATGTGGTTTTAGTATGATATCTTATGTCGATGGCTCTATAAACTTTATCTGCTGATTCATTCATGTATCATACGTATGTCACTCCTCTGATCCCCAATATTGCTTCAGATTTTCGTTTCTGTTTCCTCTTATGCTTTTTGATATAGATATGCATATCAACATTGAAATTGAAATTAGATGTTTGAATATTACAAATTTCTGGATTGCAGTTTGAGAATGTATAACACGCTTGTGGAGAGATGCTTTACAGATTGTGTGGATACATTCAGACGCAAAACATTAGATAAGCAAGAGGAGACATGTGTGAGGAGATGTGCTGAGAAGTTCTTGAAGCATTCCATGCGTGTTGGATTGAGATTTGCAGAACTCAACCAAGGTGCAGCTACACCAGACTAATCCTCCATAGCATCTACTATGAAGCTCACTTTTGTAGTCTAATAGAGTTGCTTTAGTCTTTCAAGTAAACACCATAAACATATAGACTGAGTTTCATAAACTTCTTTCCATTAACGATTGCTTTTCTCCATGCTAATGCTATTGATTTTCTTATCTGTATATTTCACCCTTAGCATTTGAACCTGTTTTAATGCTCCAAAAACTATCATGTAATAAACGGACTTATATCTAAACCCCTTTAAAAGGCTTGTAAATGGGTACTTTTTACATCCGTTTCTTTGAATTGTCTTTGGTCATCACTTAAGTTTTGAGAACTGGGCTTTTCAAAAAATTATTCAACCTCAAAAGTAACGAGATTAATACAGTTTAGTCGAGTAGACTAAGATTAAGTCGTAATAGGATCAAGCAAAAGACGCCAATTTATCACCAATTGCAATTTCGTTCCAAAGCTTGTAACACATATTGCTCCATTTCATTATATGGAACCAAAATTTTATACAAAAGTAATCATATCAGCTACTTTTTATCGTTAAATCTATTAACACTTACGGATACTAGGTCCAAGCAAACCAATATTACTAGAGTTTTCAAATAAGTGATGAATTTATATGAAACCCTAGCAACGTGATCATAAAGTGAGTAAGCATCACAAATTTCAAACCAAAAAGATTAATTATCCAATGTCGAGTATGTAAGGATTTAGGAAGTAGGAACACATGTTGGCTAAATCGCTACTACATTGATGTAAAAACAAATAAGTTCTAGCCCACGGTTCGTTGAGCAAGAATGCAATTATTGCATTGTCATACAGTCCAATGTAGATTATTGTTTTGTGCTTTGATTTTTAATGTTCATTGTTCTTTAAAGGCATAATGTCATACAAGCCTTAAGTTTGATAGAAAATCTAAGTTATACCATTTTGTGTATTTGTGGCTCATTAAAGCTAGAAGATTGCAACTTTTTTTTTTTTTTTTTCAATTTTACTTTTTTGCATATTTCTTGGTTCATTAAAGCCCTTAAGTTTGACAGAAATATTTGGTTTTATTTATTAAATTGCAATATCGGTGTATGTAGAGTATTGTTCATTTGCTATTGATATTTCCAGAACAAATCCAATTAATAGCAGACCAAGGTATAATATTTAAAGCATTGAATACACAATGTACAAGAATGCGCTATGAAAATTGAGATTTTGGTTATGGTTATAGAAAATTTTTATATTTATGTTTTCTTACCCTCAAATAATTCTAACTTAATAATTTTCATCATTTATAATTTTAAAGTTAAATTATCATTATTAAAGTTACAATTTTAAAGTTAAATTATCAATATATTTTTAGGAAACACTTTCAAGTCTTATTTTTTTCCGCCACCTCCGTACATAATTGTTTGTATCCAAAATTTATTTTGATATTTTTGTAGTCCACTTTTTATGGTTTCATCGTCTTCGTGGTATATATGGTGTCGAGCTGCATTTTTCAACATACCGGGCTTCCGCAACATTGCGCGGGCGGTCAAAACCCTAGTTTTTATTATTTTTAAAAATCATCGATATGGTCCATTATATAAAAATAGAGGGGTGAGATGAAGGATGGTTATAAAATAACACGAAAAATAAATGGCATGTTAGGTTTTTGGTAAAAAAAGGGGGGGGAGGGTAATATAGATATTTTTGACATGATACGTAAAAACCATCGTTATCCCTTCCCTCTATTTTTCTCTCTCCATATATATAATATATGGGTTACCATATATCTATGATTCTATTCACGTGTCCTTCTTCTCCAAGCTTCTTTATCGATCACCCTATATATAGATTTCAAAGTAACCTCCACTCACGCATCCAATTTCACGCATCTTTTCTCGGTTTCTCGCCAACATCGTCGCTGCTCACTGTCTTCCCTCTCATTGTCTCTGTTACAGTTACAGGTAAGATCGTTTTGGTTAGAATTCCGATTTCCCGTTCTTGAATGAAATATTTACCCAATTTGTTTGAGTTTTTCCTACTCTTAATTTGATCAGTTAAGAAGAGTGGCAGGCATAAGTGTTCAGCGTTCAAGTCTTGTGTGTGTGTGATAGAGAGTGTGTGTGCACCCCCCAACAAAATTAATTTGTTAAATATGTTTCAAAAAATAGAAAAATCATTAGTAATAACTACTCCACTAGTAAAAAGAAACTAAAGATTTCATTTATAAAATACACACAATTTATTAATATGAAAACTTTACAAGAAAAAGTAGAAACATTAACTAAACTATTTGCAGCATTAGAAATTCCATCTGAAATTCAAGAAAATAATATAGAAATAGAAAATAATTCAGATAATAATGACGCAGAAGTAATATATGATTTTTCTTCAGATGACGAAAATCCTTATTCAAATCCATATAGAAATTCACAAAACAATTTTGGATTAAAACGAAAACAATCATATGTTGAAGATGATTATCAAAGTCAATATATTTATGGACCACCTTCATTAGAAGAAAATTTTTTATATAGACAACGAATGATTAAAAATAAACAAAATAAATGGGAAAAAATACCTCCTCAATACATACCTAAATTATTTACATTTCCAACAAATTCAGATATTCTTTTTATTGATTGTGATCAAAATCCTGAAGCAAAAATTCAAGAATGGAGTAATAAAATGGGAGTACAAATTCAGTTAACTGAAGAATTAAGAAATTTACACCCAACACATTTTCTTAATTATATCATTCATAAAACACAACGTAACGCATATCGTTTTCTCTCATCTCTTGATGAAACCGAAACAATGATGATAGCTACTACTGATGCTATGGAAACATTTAAAAATGTATTAAGTCGTCTTATTCAGGAATTCATAGGAAAACAAATTGAAGATAAAGTATCACAAGAAGCTTTTCAATTAGAATCATTATGGCATTTAACTAATCTACGAATTCGTAATATGTGTTATCTAGATCCGTTTATATGCGAATATTCTGAACATTATTATAATTTAGATTCCACTAGAAAAAAGGTAGCATTAGATATGTTTTATCAAAAATTATCATCATTAGTAAGCCAAAGTGTAATAAAAGATTTCCAAGAAGCATTACAACAAAATAAAATTGCAGATACTTTAGGAGCACGAATAAGTATATTAAAAGCATGGATGCAGAAAAAATGTTTAGAACAAAAAACAACACAAGACGCAAGCAATGACGTAAAAAGCCATTATTATTGAAGACACGTGTCCTTTTCAATGTGGAAGGGATTGTTATTAATTATTAATGTAATTGTTTAAAAGTGTCGGTAGAATAATAGAATAATTATTAGGTGTATTATTTGATGTAACATAAAGTGTGTAAGTCCCTCAATAGTCTAGGGGGATATAATGTAAATATGTTTGTCATATTGCAATCAAACGATTGCAATTAAATTATGTAATCGGCTCCTTTGAGCCTATAAATAGGGTATTTGCCCATATGAAATAAACAAGTGAAGTTTGAGTGTTTAAGACTTGAGTTGATCTCAAAGTTCTTCCTCTGTTGAAATAGTCGTTCTATTTCTGAATAGCAGAGCCCTATCAAAACATATTCATATAATCATTCATATAATCTAAACAATCCATCGTCAATCCATTCTTACGCATCATTCAGGTATAATTCTATCTTAATCTTTTTATTAATTTTGTCATGTCGTAAAATTAACCTGAATGATGCATCGGAATAGATTGACGATGGATTGTTTAGATTATATGAATGATTATATGAATATGTTTTGATAGGGCTCTGCTATTCAGAAATAGAACGACTATTTCAACAGAGGAAGAACTTTGAGATCAACTCAAGTCTTAAACACTCAAACTTCACTTGTTTATTTGACGGAATTAATAAAAAGATTAAGATAGAATTATACCTGAATGATGCGTTGGAATGGATTGACGATGGATTGTTTAGATTATATGAATATGTTTTGATAGGGCTCTGCTATTCAGAAATAGAACGACTATTTCAACAGAGGAAGAACTTTGAGATCAACTCAAGTCTTAAACACTCAAACTTCACTTGTTTATTTGACGGAATTAATAAAAAGATTAAGATAGAATTATACCTGAATGATGCGTCGGAATGGATTGACGATGGATTGTTTAGATTATATGAATGATTATATGAATATGTTTTGATAGGGCTCTGCTATTCAGAAATAGAACGACTATTTCAACAGAGGAAGAACTTTGAGATCAACTCAAGTCTTAAACACTCAAACTTCACTTGTTTATTTCATATGGGCAAAGACCCTATTTATAGGCTCAAAGGAGCCGATTACATAATTTAATTGCAATCGTTTGATTGCAATATGACAAACATATTTACATTATAGCCCCCTAGACTATTGAGGGACTTACACACTTTATGTTACATCAAATAATACACCTAATAATTATTCTATTATTCTACCGACACTTTTAAACAATTACATTAATAATTAATAACAATCCCTTCCACATTGAAAAGGACACGTGTCTTCAATAATAATGGACATGATACGTAAAAACCATCGTTATCCCTTCCCTCTATTTTTCTCTCTCCATATATATAATATTTGGGTTACCATATATCTATGATTCTATTCACGTGTCCTTCTTCTCCAAGCTTCTTTATCGATCACCCTATATATAGATTTCAAAGTAACCTCCACTCACGCATCCAATTTCACGCATCTTTTCTCGGTTTCTCGCCAACACCGTCGTTGCTCACTGTCTTCCCTCTCATTGTCTCTGTTACAGTTACAGGTAAGATCGTTTTGGTTAGAATTCCGATTTCCCGTTCTTGAATGAAATATTTACCCAATTTGTTTGAGTTTTTCCTACTCTTAATTTGATCAGTTAAGAAGAGTGGCAGGCATAAGTGTTCAGCGTTCAAGTCTTTTGTATTCCAAGTTGCAGATTTGTGTTTTTTTTATTTTGTATGAGTTTTGCTTAACGATTAGGAATAAGATTGTGTTAATTTGAGTAATATGGCCATTGTCTTCTTTTGTCAACGACTAGTGTTTGATTTAATTTGGAGTTTTTATTGCTTAGACTGATTATTAGTTCCCATTGCATCTTCAGATTATTTTCTTATTAACACATTGTACTTTGAAAATTTTACCAAGTATAAGCATTTTTCTTATTATACTTCGATTTCTGATATGCACTTTGCTTCGCAGAATTAGGGTTATGTGTTCTATTTTTGGGATTTCTGAATCTGATAATGATGATGATGATGATGATGAAAGATGTTGGTGATTTTATCACCAAATATATTTTAGTGTAATGGACTTAACAAGTGTTTCAAGAATAATGTTTTTAGTTATAATACATGTTAGGAGGTGCTGGAGTACACACTTGTATTTACTAAACATTGTTAGTACCGAACCCTAATCTACTGTGTCAAGTCGGGGGTCCCGCTCCCCGGTGTGTGGGCGGGGTTCGGACTAATCTGTCATTCTTTAAAGATGCAAATTCAAGGACTAATATGTCATTCTTTAAAGATGTAAACTGTTCTCGTTTATCCGTTGAGTGGATAAGTCCGGGAAAAGGACGACTCCTTTGAAACACAGAAAACTGGAAACGTCTTCTTCTTCATCTTCCTCTCAAAATTGATTCTGATTTTGGTGCCTAAGATCAGAATAGTTACATCAGGAATTATTCCAGTTTGGATTTCGTGACACCCAAGGCATTTAGGGTCGAAATATCAAACAAGGAAAGTGTTTACACGATTCCTGTTTGTGATCCAGATTTTCTATAACCCTATTTCGATTCCCCAACAAAAGAAACGATGGGTATGAGTTTTTTGAGAAAGAGGTTGAAGAGACGTTTAGAAGGGGGGTTGATGAAAAACTAAAAGATGAGAATATTATCTTTGAAGTGCAATCACTTCGTTTGTCTCACAAGATGGATCTTGACAAGTGTGTTGGTGCTTTGTTTTATTCTATGATGAAATTGGCACTTGATACTTGGAATACTTCTTCTGGTGAAAATGATTTGTTGAAGAAAACGAAGGATGTGATTTCACAATGGGGGAAATTGTTGAAATGGTTTTTGAGAGATATTGATGTGGAAATCGAAGTGATATTGAAATTTGAGGAAATGTGTTTGGAGTCTGCAAAGGCATATGCACCCTTGTTTATGGAGGTTTTGCGTGTTTTGTATGATAAAGATATAATTCAAGAGGATGCGATTAAAGAATGGAAGGAGGAGAAAAAAGGTGCGGATGAATCGGATAGAGTTTTTGTTGAGCAATCACAAAAGTTTCTTAAGTTGCTGAAAGCGGCGAATGAAGAATGAGAATTTCAAAGTCGTTAGACATACTTACATATTTACCACTTACGGAAATTGATTACTACTTTAAACGTAGAAAATAAAGTTTTTTGAACTTAGAAAATAAAGTTTTTACTATATAACTAGAATTTTACCCGCCGCGCGTTGCGGCGGCAGTAATGGATTTAAAAAAGGAAACCTTTCAGTAGAAAAATAGAAACTTTGGAGGACTTAAGTTGCGAAAATCACTAAAATCAGGGACCAAAACCATGTACAAAAACTTAGGAGGACGTAAGTTGCCAAAACATAAAAGTCAGGGAACAAATCCATGTCAAGCAAAATGCTTAAAAGTAAGTAAAAAATATTTACATCAAAACGTAAACAAACTCGAAGCACCAAAACATAAAAAACATTTACGTCGAAACAAAGACAAACTGAAATTTATACCAATATGTACATAAAAAAGCAAGTAATTTTAAAAAAAAAATAACGGAAATTTTTTCTAAATCTACGACAAAACGTGGTCCACCTCGAATTTATACCGATAAATAACGCATATTAAATTAGTTTTTTTTTTAAATAAATTAACAAATTTTACAAACTTAAATTTCGAAGGGTTTAAAATTACATTTAACAAAGTAGAATGGAGGGGATTAAAGTCATATTCAAAAAAATTCAAAGTTTAGGGGGTGAAAGCGACATTTTAAAATGTAAAATAAGTTAAGGGTAAAAACATCATTTTGAAAAGTATAGGAACGAAATGTCCATTGTCAAAATAAAGGGATAGGATATGTACATAAATTCAAAGTATAGGGACTGAGAATGGAAAATTAAAAAAAGTAGAAGGGAGGAAAAGAAAAGAAAGTGACCACCGACTTTTGTATTTAGAAGATATATAATTTGACAATACTTCTAATAATAATGACATTATCTTGATTTAAGTGCTATAGTAGATAAGTCATATGTGTGTGGAGTAAGCGATATATCAACAAACTGTGTTTTTTTTTTTCCGAGTATATGAACCTTTCGATTGACAGTTTATGTCCACTTACCCTTATCTGACGAATTATGATAAGCAAAAATTAACAACTATATACTGTAATATGTATCTAAAATATAAAGAATAAGAAGTTATGAAATATTTAAATAAAAAATATTTGATATAAATTTAGTTAGCATCATTCGTAACTTGTAAACTAAATTATTATTACAAATAAGCATACCATTAAAACCGCCTGCTATAGAGTATAGATATTAGAGGTATTTGGCTCAAAAATATGGCTATTTGAATTATTTACATATGGTTGTTTAAAGGGGTTGGCTTTAGAGCTACAAGTGTCGATTTTAGGATTCCATTCTTGGATATCAAGAAAATAATAATAATTAAATTTACATACAAAACATAACATAGGAGATTAAGTTCCTGTATGGTGAATCAAGTTAATGAATTTGAGATAAATCATGTCATCAATAAGTGCAACATAGTGGAACCTTTACCTGTTTTGAACGTCTTCAATGGAAACACGGCTGACCAGAGAATCACTTTTACTATTAATCCCCTAAATGTCAAATCCTTTTTTGACAAAAAATGAATTTACCAAATTGCCCCTGATTATTCTAACCTTTTTGGAATCTGATCACACGTCGTCTAAACTCTATTCTTTGGCTTCCTTCTACGTTTAAAACAAACATAAATTAAGACCTCAAAATACGACGCACACATTGATTTGTTTTTCACCACTGAATTGAAGTTATTATTTTTCATGATCATGATTAACCTTTGAATTCAGCATATTATGTTTGTTCGTGTGTGTATGTTTGTATGATACACCCTTTCCTTTTGAATCGGAGAACTTTTAGTAGAATCTGTTATTATTAACTTATAATCTAGTTTTTACACCTTATGGTTAAGTCCATTTGTTTTGATTTAGGTTTAGGTTTTCTTGGTGATTGGTTTATGGATTATTTGATTATTCCAATTGGGTAAAATTTGAATGAGGAACATGGATGACGACCGATCAGTGATTTTCAACTTGTGGTTATTTGATAACCACTAATGATTTTCATCTAGACAACCTTCTTTTACTCCCAAGCTATCTTCCATGTCTTATATAATATAACTATACTAAAAACCAACTTGACATTAAATACGTCCTCTTGCACCTCATCTTTTATTTTTATTTTTTACAATTTTGGTCTATCCTTTTAATTTTTATAACAAATTTGGTCCTTCATTTTTACTTTATAGTGCTCATTAGGTTTGGCCTAGATTTATAAAAGTAATTACGAATTTGGTCCCTTACTTTATTTTGCAGTTTTAGCCCATTTTTTAATGTTTATTACGAATATGGTCCCTCATTTTAGGCCCTCGTGTGCTGGAGTCACTGTAGGAAAACCTCTATGGTCAAAGAATCTTAGTAGTGTCATGATTTGAACATGGTTCAATGAGTTACTCACCACATCTTCACATGTCTTACCAAGTCACCACAACCAAGTGATTACACACAAAATTTCCGCTGCAACACATAAGGATATAACTTCTGGTTTTTACTAATTATATAAGCTTTCTATAGTAGTTCATGTAAATTAACCTTCCATCTCAAAAAGTGTAACATACACATGCAGACAGACTTGATGACATTTCAAAACCAATATGAGACAACATGATTGAGTTTATGATAATCAATTGTGTTTCCACGAGTATACCATCGTCCAAGCACAAGCTAAAATTGAAACATCGGGGTATCTTCCGACTAGCAAAGAAGACTAGTAAGAAAATATTTTGCTTAGCTTTCAAAAATGCATCTACATAAGCACATGATCATACAACTTTAGTCAACTTAATGAAGAAGTCATAAAACGCTATTCATCAAAGAACAAACAACACTTTTCAATAAGCCATGTTGACGAGTATGTATTAGACCGATCATTTATCGAGCTTGATTATGAGGAAAAGTTCATGGCTATTCTTACCATGTATTTAAATGAGAAAGAAATAACCATTTATGTAACTACAGACTATAGCCTCTACTCAAATAACCTCGACTTCATTAACCGATTATATGACAACAAATGATCCACAAGATGATGGTAATCCATATTTTTAACTAGAAAAAAATATATAAATATACTTCTAATATTTGTTTAGTTTTTGTAAAAATATTTCATGTTTCAAGATAAATTGCTATTTAAATAATATTTTTTGTAAAAAAATAATGTTAGAATTAAATAATAAGTAAAATTGTCACTTGGTAATTATAATCACAAATAGGAAACTATGATCAAGTGGAAAATATGGAAGAAATTAATCATAATTTTATGATAACTAAACCGGTTACAACTTTCAAACATCTTATGTAAACCAAAAGATTCTTATATCAATCCCAACTCTTTTTTATCCTCAATCGAGAATGGAAACAACATATTGTGCTTATAAATCCCATCAGGATACATAATCTACAACGGAAAATTCCAGTGATTAACGGCATCTGGAAATTCCTGCAACTCCAAACACAATCCGGCGTGCGCTTCATACACAAACCCTCATTTTCCCTTCACATCTTCTATATAATTCCCAGTATAAAAATGCACCCACGACACATCCGTTGTCAATTTCATCGACCTACCCGACTTCTCATGCCACATGACTGCGGCAACTTTCATCTAAATTAATTGTTCATCTCAAACAGTGTAACAGACACACATAGACACACTTGATGAGATCTCAAAATCGATTAGGGTAACATGGTTGAGTCTATAATAATCGATTATGTTTCCATGAGTATACCATCGTCCAAGAACAAGCTAAAATTAAAATATGGGGTATCTTCCTTGAAAATAATACTTGTACGAAAATATATTGCTTTTCAAAATGCATCTACATAGACATATATGATCATACAACTTTAGTCAACTAAATAAAGAAGTCATAAAAGGTTATCCATCAAAGAACAAACAACACTTTTTAATGAAAAAGTTCATGTCTATTCTTACCACGTATGAAAACAAGAAAGAAAGAAGTAATCATTTTGGTGATTACAGAAAATAGCATCGAGTCAAACAACATCGGCTTCGGTAAGCAATTATATGACAATAAATGATCCACATGACGATGATAATCTAGATATTTACTTAGAAATTTTTTATGGAGCGGTAGTGAACTGAAAAGAAAAATTCACTGGGTAGAATGGAGAAAAGTCATTGCCCCTAAATCTGAAGGTGGTTTGGGCGTGGGATAAATTCTTGCACAGAACACTGCATTACTATTTAAATGGTGGTGGAGACTCATGAATGAAAAAAGTGGTCTATGGAGAAGTGTTATCGTAAGCATTCACAACTTAGTCAACAAACCTGCCTCTTATTTAGCGAGGAAATCATCAAACGGAGTCTAGTGCAATATTTATAAGGCATTTAGAGATATTAATTCACTTCACATAGATTAGACTGACATTTTCGTACTCATCTCGGGGTTTGATGTTAAAATAATGTTCTGGAAAGATCATTGGTGTAGTAAAACTCCTTTCTATACCAAATTCCCTAACTTATATGCACTGGAGACAGTCAAATGTTGTTCGGTGAGCGATAGACTTTCCGCGAATGGTTTCTCGTGGATGTGGAGATTTGAACCATCAGGGCCGGTCGAATTAAACGAACTGTTGCAGTTATACACGGATATTGGAAACTTGAATGTCGTGAAAAAATTCAACTTTGGATTCAGCTTCCTCCTCAATCCTAATGGGGAATTCACTGTAAATAGAATGAGAAAATTCCTGGAGTCAAAACTAATTGTATACAAGGGAAAGACAATTGGGTGGACAAAAACAGTACCTTTGAAGGTGCGCTGTTTTGTTTGGCGTGCAACACTAAATGGGATTCCGGTGGAGGAAAACTTGGCTTTGAGGGGTGTATACCTACTGTTAATTCGAGATGCCCAAATGTGTAATTCGGAATCAGAATCGGTTGATCACTTGCTAGTCAACTGTGACTATGCTAGAGAGGTACAACAATGGACATTTAAATGGTGTGGAATTGGAGACGGGGTTTTCATGGGTGTGAGCGATTTCATTGATTTTGTTGTTACTTGGGGGAATTGTCCAAAGAAAAAGGATATTCTAATCTCTATTTTCTACTGTCTGATTTGGAAGATTTGGATATAAAGGAATGATAAGGTTTTTAAGGGTATCAAGGTCAATCCCACTAAACTGGCGGACAATATAATCTTTCTCGTCTATAATTGGTGCAGACATAGAGGAAATGTTTCATGTGGGAGCTGGGCGCAATGGTGTATTTCACATTTTACTCATCTTGTTTCTTAATTTTCTTTGTTTTTGTTCTCGTTTCTTTACTTTATTGTCTTTGTAGCTCCTTGCTAGTGGGTGTTGCCCTCTTTAATGAAATATTTGTTGTTTCTAAAAAAAATTATATAAATATAATTGTAATATTTATTTATTTATTTATTGTAAAAATATATCATTTTTCAAGATAAATTGCTATTTAAATAATACTTTTTGTAAAAAAAAAATATAATTTTAGAATTAAAGAATATGTAAAAACTGTCGCATGATAATTATAATCACAAATAGTCATATAACTAAATTGAGTTGTCAATTTCCAAAAGTTAAAAGGGAAATAAGATCACAAGTTGAAAATTATGATAACCACACCGGTAAAAACTTACAACCACCTTCTGTAAACCAAAAGATTCTTATATCGATCCCAAATCTTTCTTATCCTCGATCGAGAATGAAAACAACATATTATGCTTATAAATCTCACCGGGATTCACAATCTGCGACGGAAATTTCCGGTGGTTAACAGCATCTGGAAATCCTTGTGTCTCCAAACACAATCCGGCGTGCGCTTCATACACACACCCCCCTTTTCCCTTCACATCTTTTACATAATTTCCGGTATAAAACTGCACCCCCGGTGTATCCGTTGTCAATTTCATCGACCTACCAGACTTATCATCCCACACGACGGCGGCGACTTTCATCTTCTTCCCCTTTTCTCCGTCCAGCACGTAATTGATGTCATAGCCGTCGGGAAGTCCCCCGATTTTGCTTTTTATCGTGTAGGGTTTGAGGAAATCGTAGGGCGTACCTTTGACAGAGACAATTTTTCCGGTGGGGATGAGTTCGTCGTCTGTCGGCGTGATATGAGACCCGAAGATTTTGATTTTTTGCGATAATACATCGCCGCTGTTGTGGCCTCCAAGATTCCAGTACATGTGTTGTGCTAAATTCACCGGCGTTGCTTTGTTTAGGGATTTTGCTTCCATTTTTACGCGGAGTTTGTACTTGCCGAGGAGTGAATAGGTCACCATTACTTTGAGATCTCCGGGAAACCCTGATTCAGGTGAGAAATTGAATCGAATCAGATTGAATTAAGTTAATGTGAATTGTGATTAATGGAGGAAGAAATGAATAAGGAGATTTGACCTTGTTCGCCATCAAAACTGTGGTATGTGAAGGTGATACAAGGCGATTCACAATCTTTTTCATATTTTTTGACCTTCCAAACAACGTCGCTAAACCCGGGAGTGCCGCCTGAAATTAGAAGAGTACTATAGTCACAAAGTATAGATGCAAAAACTAGCAATTTACTTTTATTTAAATGTAATAATAATAATAATAATAATAATAATAATAAACTTTTTATATTGTTATTTTTCCGAATTAAGCCTCAATTTTATACTTTTTTAATAAAAATCTTGTATTTTTCCATTTTGTCTGAGTAAGGTCTCAACTTTTTACTATTTTCCAGAAGAAAAAAAAAAACTTGAAGGTGTTTTTTCTTTCCATAAAAACCTCTAATTTGACCGACAAAAAAAAACAGTTAAAATTGCCAAACAAAAAAAATACAAAGTTTTTTTCAGAAAAAAAAAACAATTTGAGGTTTAATTCCAAAAAATACAATAAATAAGGTCTTTTATAATACTATTAATTTTGTATTTAAAAATTTGTTTTTATAAACTATGAATTTGTTCAAATAGTTTCAAAATATGATTTTTTATTTCAACTGTTAACATTTTAAGAAATTTTGTAATAGGAATAATTTTGTAATTGACAACTTAACAAGTTCCTAATTAGTGTTCATATATAATTAACCAAAAATAGATCAAGTTGTTAAATGTCTAGTCAAATAATGTTTTTTTTATAGTTTTGTTCTTCATTTTAGCAAATATTTATATTGATATTTGCAAGAACATTATATCACAATATATATTTACAAAAATACTCCCTCCGTCCCAAAATTATAGTCCATCTTTCCTTTTTGGTTTGTCCCAAAATAATAGTCTACTTCTAAAAATAAATAACATTTTTATCAAAATAATCCCTCATTATTACTTAACAAACTAAACATTTAATGGAACATTAAATGCAAAGTAAGGACAAAACTGTCATTTTATTAAATAAAGTTAGTGGTAATTAATGTTTTTCTTAATATGTGTGTTTTTTTGTCTGTGGACAATAATATTGGGACGGAGGGAATAATTTTTTTATTAAATAAACAAGAAATAAAAGTGAATAGTGATCCCACACCATGAAGAATGTTTCCCTTCTCATTAGCATGTAACTTATAAGAAGTCCCATTTAACGTGAACTTAGCTCCTCCTATTCGATTAGCAACACGTCCAACAATAGCTCCAAAGTAGGTTGAATCATTCTACAATCATTAAAAAAATTAAAACTATATTGTTAAAACTATAATTTTATTTATTAAATTAAACAATTTATTTGAGTAATAAGATTAGAGAGAATATTTTACAGCTAAGCTGAATAATAATATTCGAAAGAAATCAGTTGTCCCAAGAGAAGTTGGACTTTTCGAGTCAAATTTGAAGATGTGTGTTAAAGCGATATGGAAGGATTAGATTGACTACAACTTGTTTCTTGGCATTATATACATTCGTCACATTAAAACAAAATATATATATATATATATATATATATATATATATATATATATATATATATATATATATATATATATATCAATAACTTAATATGATTATTGTAGTTCCCAAACATATAAAAAAATAAATGGTTTTTGGTTTGGAGTATAAGTAGAAAATAATAAACTAGTTGTAGCAATTCTTAATAAATAAATCGATTTAGGTTATGTTTTATCTTTTTAGGTGAGAAGTGAATCCAAACTTTTAGCTAAAGGATCTTAAACCCAACATTATTTTTGGTGTAAAAAAATGTATATTTGTTCCAACCTAACACTATTTTTTAGTGTTACACAAAATTTGGTGTGATAAGATTTGTTAACACCAAATTTAATGTTAAACTTCCATTAATCATTTATAATTGTTCAAATTTGATTTTATATATTTACTTTATATAAATTGTATTAAATGTAAAAATTATTTCGAATATATTTATGTTTGTAATATTTTTTAATAATTTATTTAAATATGCCATAAATTTAAAACTTTCTTTAACAATGTACTCGTTTTAATAATATAACATATAATTTGAATTATTTGTTTGCTTATATTTATTTATTAATACAATTACTCTAACTATTGAAACAAAAAGATACAAAACAAATTTATGACCATCTAATAAATAGAATCACATTTTTATAAAAATCTAAATAAATTAAAAGAAAAAATATTATATACATGAATATTTTTTTGGTGTAAAAGTAATACAAGATTGAAGATTACTTATTATTTGCACCATTTATACACCAAATATATAAAATGAACTTAATCGTTCTATTTCAGCTCATACTAAGCTGTTTATTCTTCCCGTTATCCAACGTCTCTCACACCCCTTGTTTAAAAATAGTAAAAGACAAGTGTTTGGTGAAGAGGTGGTGATTGAGGTTTATATCTAATCTATGTCTATTGCTTTCATTATTATGCATCTCATGCTTTCTAATCACAATGTTATTTCTTTCAATTTGCACTTGTTCAAAAGATAGATCAATTATGTGATAAGAGTGTCTTTTATTTTGATATTTTTGTGATTAACTTTTTAAATTAATGATAACCACCACTCAAAACATGTTTCTGTCGACTTTGGCTCAAAATGGCAAGAACCAAACTTCAAGACTGCTAAAAGCAGCATCAACTTTCTTCAAGTAATACAGATAACAAAGCCTACTTTAAATAAAAAAAACTTCAAGGTATCATAGTTTTTAATCTCCTTAATAAAATTTAAAAAGACTCTAAGACACTAGAAAAAACTATATTCTTATCAACTTTCCATCAACACACATTTGATATTTTATCATTGCGTAGTTAATAGTTATTTTAGTATATCCAAATTGATACAGTTTCGTTTATAGCAGCATATTCTCAATAGGTCTGAACCCGAAAACCATGAACCCACAAACCTACAGTTTCAAACCGAAAAGCCGCAAACCAAATTGAAAAACAAACATATACGATTTGAGTTCGGTTTTAGACCAAAAGTGACCCATGTTCTCCCCTAATAACATAGGTTTGGTATGTGGATTTTAGTTATCACTATCTTAATTTAAACCTAATAAAATAATTATTTTATTTTATGTTAGAACTTAATTATTTTAAAAGGGATATGATCTTATTATTAAACAAGATACATCAAATCTCAACAAAAATTTAAATGTGGACTCCCTCTCTCTCTCTATATATATAATTCAAAAAAGATATTATATCACTATTTTATTTATTTTCCAACATGATAAATACATATAGTCAAAAGTCATGATCTCCATTTATTTGAAGTGTAGAAATTCGTGATCATCATTTAATTCCCTGTTTTTGTTCATATGACTAAAAGTCTAAAACTCTTCATAATAAATGGTGATGATACGTTTGAATCTTATTTCCATTCAATATTATAAAAACATGTTAGTAAGCCACTAACAAAATTATTAGTGTGATTTGATTTGATTTCCATTAGCTATTCCAAAAAGAATAAATGTCACCAACATATATACATCAAAATGGAAATGGCAATTTATAGTCGAATTTTAGTACTCTTTTAGAATTGAAATTTAAAGATAAGAACATAACAAAAGATCTCACCTTGTATGTATCGATATTGTCATATCCAAGAATCACATCTTCGACTTTCCCTGAAAACACACACATATATTATTCGTAATTTCCTCAAAATACATAGGAATTGCCAAAAAGAATTCTGGGAATTTCACGAAACTACCAAAAAAGATTCGAAGGAAATAAAAAACACACACATAGAAAGGTGAGTTTAGTGTGTGTAACCTTCTAGTTAGGATGAAAAACAATAATTAAATACATATATGAATGAAGATTTTATCAAAAACATTTAGAAATTACCAAAAAAAGGATTAGGAATTCAAGAAAGACCCAAAAAGGACTCCAAGAAAAAAAAAAACACAGAGAAAGGTGAGTTTAGTGCGTGTTAGTATTAATCTTGTTAAGATAAACAAGAATACGATAATAAAATTCCCAAAAAAATCCATAGCAATTACACAATGATTATGGGATTCAAAGAAGAGAGAGAAAGTGAATTGTACCATTTTTGTCAGGAAGAAAAACAGAGACAATGGTTGCACCCCAATTGGTTAATTTTACAGAAAAATGGCCATTGTTGAGCTCATAAATCCCAATATCTTCTTCATATTTTGTAGCACTCACACTTCCCGATAACAATACAAAACTGATGATGATAATAATGGTGATGAAACAGTGGAAAATAGTTGGGGATTTGTACATGGTTAATTTGGGTATAGAAAAGAAGAAAATAGATTGATGGAAATCAATCGTGAAAGTGTAAAGAGTAAATTTCAAGAAATGGACTTTGGTTTTCTTTTTCGGGTTTGATGGTGGGAATATATATAGAAATATAGGATAACTAGTTTGAAGATCTGGAGTGGGAGTTTGGGACTGTGAGAAACTCACGCCCATTTTTTAGACTTTAATATTTATTTATTTTATTCCTTTATTTTTTAACAAAAAAGAAAAGGAGATTTGTGTTTGTAAAAAACAAGCTAGTAAACTAAATAATAAATATAAATGACATTTAAATGTAGAATCTAAACGAGAGTATATTATTATATTTGAAACTTTTGTAGAAAAATCATCAATAACTTATCAGTCAATTATCGTAAATAGTTTTTCAAAAAAGCTATATTTGAAAACTTTGTGGGAAAAATAGTCTCCGTCCTTTTACCCATCCATGTCCCCATCCTATTTAATCACCAACGAGTTTGGATGAAAGAATCATCGTCGGGTATGAGGAACCCGTTAGGATAGTAAAAAGAAAATCTGTAAATCTTAAAAATATAAAAAATAATAATAATAATAAATAAAACAATAATCACACAATATTATGAGTATTCAACTATTCAACCATCGATGTGGACAAATGGAAGAGGATAAAGAAGGCGAGACTAAGTCAACTATTCAACCGTTGTGGTTTACACTTTTACACATCATTCAACCCCATAATTTAGACCGTATATTATTTACATATACATAATGATAATCTTTACAATTATGTGAATATATATAAGTTATAAAGAGGACATATGAGTCTTGTTAATCATAATTTACTCTTATGGAAATGTATAAAGCAAAAAAAGCCTTTGTTAACACACCAACATAAACAATAACGTCTTAAAAAACTTTTTGCTCGCATTAATAATAATTACCCTCGGCCTTAAAACATGATCTCAGCCATGCCTATTAGTTTCTCATGATTTACCCTCTTTCCTATAACATGATCTTGAGTTCTTGACACATTTCTCCAATAAAGGCATCTTAAATATAACTATATAAGTGTTGTTACAAATTATTGTAACGTGATTAAATCTAATTAAAATAAATGTTCAGTTGAAACCGATCAGATCGGAAAAACAGAACTGGAAAAACTCGATTCCAAACCGAAAAAGGCACAATCCAAAAACCACAAGACCAGACCAAAAAGACCAAGATTAGTCCAAAAAATATCGGACCGTATTAAGACTGGTCCGAGAAAGACCGGACCATAAAAGTCTAACTGTTCTGAACCCAATACAAGACCGGTCCAAGACTGTCAATTTATATATATATATATATATATATATATATATATATATATATATATATATATATATATATATATATATATATATATTACTTGTTCTGAAACCAACACAGGCCAGTTCATAATTGTATTATGAATTTTGAAACTTAAGATATTTTATTTGTAAAAAAAAATATGAATGGTGGTCAAAAAGTTACAAACAAAAAGAGTCATTTAAACTAAATTAACAAAATCTAAAATTATCAAGGTTCTAAAAAGATCGTCATGGCTCCGCCATGGCTCCAAGGCTCGTGTCTGCCGCCAAGCTTTACTAAAACGCCGCCTTAACTTATATATGTGTATAAAATAAAATAATAGTTGAAAATACATATAAAAATATTAATTATGTACAAAATTGCCGCCTTAAATCACGCCTTACAAACGACATGGCTCGCCAAGGCTCGAAAAAGTTTGAGGTTTGACATTGCCGTCTTACGTTATTTAGAACATTGAAAATTATATAGACTTGAAATACCAAAATTGCCTTTTGGAAAAACTAAGAAGATATCCGTTAACGCCAAAATGGGCTGCAGCGCATATTCCACCCCCAACTGGCCAGCTCATGGGGCCCACACTTTCTGAATTTTTCCATGTGTTATTTTCCAATGATATGATTTAATTATTATGTTTCTTAAAATAAAATTAAAATATGTCAGAGTATATATTTTTATAATTATTTTCTAAGATATCGTTAGAACAGTCAAACTCCTAGTATATTAAATATGGCTACATATAATACTTAAACGGATAAATTTTAGAATAATTCTTACACTTTTAGTCTTTATCCGAAAACTCCTTACAGATATACTATTTCTATATCCTGAAAAATCACTAAATTTTCTTATTTAGGATTTGTTTGACAAAATTAGCTAGTAAAACCGGTAGTTGGTAACTATAGTTTTTAATTTTTTATATTAGTAGAAATATTCCGGCAAAAATAGTTATTTTTTTAAATTTGTAAAATTAATTGCATAATGCTTAAAACTCTTGAAAGCTATTTGAAATAGTTTTTGAATACAAACTGAAATCTTCTACTGTCAAACAAAAAAAAATTGTAGCTTTTTTTTAAAGCTAAAGACTCAAAAAATCTCAAAAGCTTTGTATCAAATACGCCCTTAAGCTCTTATTTACCTACTAAAATGTAAAATCCATTAGTAACTTGCAAATGCTTACAATAATTTCCTTATAATCATTTGTAGCCTGCTAACTTTGATTTTAACATGTAAATAAAAGATTAAAAAAAACAAACAAAAATCAAATCATCACAACTTTTCTATAGAAAATTCGTAACAGCTTTTCAGAAAGCCAAAAAAAGTAGAAACTTTTCCAAAACTTTCCCTATTTATAAAACATGATTTAATGAATGTGGATAAGATGTTTCTCGTTGTAGTTATAAACACCAAAAAAGTTGGTTACTAAAACAAAAAACATGTAAGTCACATCAGGAGTCCTAAAAGAAAAAAAGACTTCATGAAAAACATTAATTTAATAACTTCATAGCAATCCATAAGTTAATAAAACTAGACTCCAAAGATGCTAAAATCAAATGCAAAAAAACACATCTATGGTCTTTTAAAAAGCGACTATAAATAATTAAAAATATAAAACAAACTTACTTTTTTGTCTGCCTTCATTACTACTGTACATTACAACATTCACTAACAACACTCATAAGACCAAAATTAAATTAAAATAAAATAAAACACCGACTACAACAAATAACAAGATTTCTCCACTCACCTCTTCCACCCTGCTGAAAGCAAAACAATGAAGAGTTAAATGCACGAAATAGCAATGTACTTTCATTGATTTCTTATTATAGCAATTTACTAAAATAATCACAAAACAAAAGAATAAACAAATATACTTACCATCTCCACCAGGGGTAATTTGGGGTTTATTACTTTTTCCCCCTCCTTTAACATTAACTTGTAAAGGCTTCTGACCACGAGGCGACTGTAAACCAAGTTTTCCGGCGGTGGTGGTGGAGGGAAGAGAATGCCGCCGGACATTGACAAAACCATTTTCACCGCCATCTTCCGCCACCTTTGCCGCCGCCTGAGCTCTCAGCTTAGCCTTTGCTGACTCGGTTGCTGCCATGTAACTCGGTACATGATGTTGTTGTTTTACTGGAAAAGACTTTCTTCTCCTTGTTTTCTCATTTTCCTTCCCATTTGACTCTGTATTTATTTTGTTTTGCGAGGAATTTAATGAATTATTTTCGGGGGTTTTTGGTTTTTTTGATTGTGATTTAATTGGTTTTCTTTTTTTGAGTGGTGGGAGTGGGTCCCAGAAGTGGGAAGTTGACCAACGGGAAAGCCAGTTGGTGACTGAGTTGGGTTCGGTTGGATCGTATTGGATGTTCAGGGGCATTTTGGTCTTTAATGAAGCAACAAGCTGAAATTATCAGAAAAAGGGTATATATGTCCAAATTCTTAAAAATCATAATAGCAACCTCTTAAATTGTACAGAAAAACCATTATATTTTGGGCAATTTTGCGTACTTTTATTGTTTCCAATGAAACCGTATAAGTTTCATATAATTATCCAAATTAACCATTTTGATAATAGGTCAAAATGGTTAATTTGGATAAATGAGTCAAATAATAATGGTTTAATTGTAATAATCCTGCTAAGCATCCACTCATATCACGCATGGTAGGAAGGGGTATTATGGGGAAATCAGCAAATAAAGAGCACTTTAATGTGCAAGGGCATTTTAGGCATTTACTATAAATCTAGCTGTCACGCAGATTGCTTACAAGAAGCTATTGATTTTCTGTACTTATTTTTTTTTTTAAATCTTCAAAGTGAGTACTTAGCAAATCCTCCTATACAGACAGCTGGAATACAGTAAAAAAAACAAGAATACTTTATTATTTATAAAAACTGGAGGATACCTTAACAGCAAATGCATTTGTAGATAGCCTCTCTGATTTGAGGGATGTTTGAAGCAAGTCCACCTCTTCCTTTTGCTAATAAAACATACAAAAAAATAATCTTATTAAACTTTAAAAAATATCTACCCAATTATATAAGTGAAAATTGCTATATTAATTGGGTAGATTATCCAATGTTCAATGTTGTAATAAGAAGTAAAAGTATAATTCCGTAATAAAACAAAAAAAATAATAATAATAAAAAATAAAAAAATCAACAAAAGTATGTTGCTATTTCTTGCACTAAACCTAAGAGTAAATGAAAAGCAAAAAAAAGATGAGTAATGAGTTACCAAATCCAAATGTTCTTCTGGAGTAGTTTTTTGAAGAATTTGAGGAGAGCTTCCGGAAAGTCTGACTATTTGACCACGAACAACTGCCTGAAACTCAACAATTGCACGCATACAATGTAAAGTTGCAACAGCTTGTCTCCTCACCAAGTGCCCACGAATAACTGCTTGGAGCCTTATAATGCCTTTAAGTGCCCAAAATGCCCTTCGAGCCTTCACAGAGTTATATTTATATTAGTAAAAGTATCACACTTATTAAGATTTAAGAAAAAAAAACATATTTTTCACTACAAACATGGGGAATATAATTTATATGTTACATTACATATGGTTATTACCAATAAAGAAATGTGGTTAGTTGCTGTTATAGTTAAAGAACTGGTTAATGACACTAAAGACCCTGTATTTTATATTTTTTTCCAGATTAAACCTCAACTTTATTTTTTTTCCACTAAAGTACATTGCCTATTGCCTATATTAGTAAGTGGAGTGAAGTAAATTGCTATTTCCTGCAATGTTCTTGTAAATTAATATGCATTAACCTTACCAAGTATCCCCTGAAAGCTGCTTGTGCCTTAGTAGCAGCCTGTTCTAGTCTGATTAACTCATCATCATTTGCAGCATTTATTAAGTTGCCACTGGAACTGGAGTTCTTCTCTAACTCTGATTCTTCTCCATTTATGTTGCGGACGTGGCACACTGGAGTTGATATGATAGTAGAATCAGCAGCAAGATCGTTTGATTGTGTGTTGAGGGTAATGGAGGTCTTTTTGTCTAAAGTAGCATCCTTCAAGAATAATAAGACATCAAATCAGCATGTATATGTGTTTTACTTTTACAAGTAACAGGTGTAAACTGTAAATTAACACTTTTACTTACTTTTGAGAGATTAGATTTTGATGACTTCTTCCCAAAAAGAACAGTCTTCATCCACTTTCCAGGAGATTTCCCCATTGTTGAAGTGTAACAAGTAACAACCTCAAAAGTCCCTGGATTACATAAATGAATTCTTAACAAATTAGAAGGAAAGAATCATAAATCTCATCTATAATCAGATATAAACAAGTTTGGTCAGTAAAACCAAAAGCCCAAAACATGAACTGAAGTAATTATAGAATACGATTATCATTTAATTATGCAACAAGTAGAGATACAAAAGACAACTTAAAAGCCTCTTGCAAACATCATACGCAACATAAGCATCAAACTAAAGCAATGTGTCTATAACCTAGCACAGATCTGCAACAGCGCCAAACTTCAACTTATGAAAAACAGAATTAAACGACGACCTAGGGTTTTAACAAGTGTGCTTCAGATCTGGAAATGTACCTGATCAATAAATCGCTCTTAAAACCCTACCTTGTCAACTTGCAAAACCGCAACAAAATTTAAACTGGAAGAAAACACAGACAATATCTTTGAAGACACAGATAAAATTAACGAGAACACAAACAAACGAGATTGAAATCCAACATTTTGATGGGTATTACCATGAATTGGAGCATGAAGCCAGCGTCGCCTCGCCTCTCCTTTCTCTCACTAAAGAGAGTGTGGGTGTGGATTTTGGTTTCGCTATTGATTTTTGGGAGCAGGTAAAAAACAAAATTTCGAATTTCGAACTTCGAACTTCTATACTATTTTTGTATGTTTCTTTTTCCTACTTTATTAGACTAGTTTATAACTATATATCTATGATTACAAAATTAGTTTAGTTTTCTTATTAAAAATTCAAAATTATTAAATAATTATTTTAAATGATTAATTAATTTAAAGATTTTTTATTATATAAAATTATAATCTTTGATTTAAATAAATACGTTAAATGATATCATCTTAGAATTTGTATTAACTTTATTTTAATTTTTTAATCTAATATTATTAATTTAATATAATTAGAATGAGAAAATTTAAAATTTGAAATGAAGAATCAATAGGTTGACAAATGACATGACATTAATTAGACAGCCTGATAGGATAACACATGACAAAAAGAAAATAAATTTATTTTTTTATTAGAATATAAAGATTTCACATACAAAATAAAATAACTTTTTAATTGAGATTTAATCATATAAATATATATAATATCACTTTATGTTATTTATTTTAAATAACATAACTTAATAAGGTAATATAGTTTTTAATTTTTATAAATTTGATTTTTATTGTTTTTTTTTTTTTTGTAAAATAAGGCCTTGAATTTGTTGTTTTTTATACATGCAATCTTTTTAACTGATTACTTCGAGTTAAGCCGAAAAATATAACTTAGTAATACAGTTTCCATTTTGTACACATTTATGCCTTAATATTTTTTTGTTCCAAAAAAAATCATTGTTGTTTTTGTACACATTCAGTCTTTGTGACCGATTATTTCAGATTTTGTTCACGTGACATCCAACGTGTGACGATCATTAATAAAATGTTCTTATACGTGGCTCATCTTTCACTTATATCAGTGACCTAATTCATGAATCAGTCAGATAATGTTGGTGCCCGAGTTTTCTCCAAGAAGATGTCTTTGACTTTATTTTCATCTATCTCCATAGTAGACAACAAGATTTTATGTGATTGCTTCCTCCCAACTCGAATTTGCACTTCTAAAACAAAATAACATCTTGGAAAAAAATTTAGAGTCTTCCCTAATTCCTTAGTATGTTGATTTTGACCATTTTTCTGCAAATGAGTTTTTTGTTATTTTCAAATTTACATTCTTTCAGACTTGCTTAAATTTTTTTTTTTTTTTTGAACTTGAAGAAATCAAGTAAAAAGTGCAACTTTAGGTAATAGGTTGATGAATAACGTGTCAAATTGAACCTGAATTTTGAAGATGAGTTTGTAGTTGTTAAAGATGGGGTTTTATGTCTCAAGAAATAAGTGAATGAGTTGAAGAAGAATTCACATAGAGATAAGATTACAATAACTTCTAATCTTCTATAGTGATAATAAAAGTACAATGTTATTAATCTGCCTCCATTAAATAGTATTATATGACACCACTACCAACCCAAAATCAAACCAAGTGACACATGATTCCACTGACCAGAAGAGCCATCTATGATAACACATCATTAATGGTTGTCCCACGTAGGATGTCACGTGATCAAAACCTGAAGAAATATGTAACGTCCGCAGTTTCGGGCTAGTCAATTTAGAGACAATGAACATCAAAAATGAGTTTTTAATGGAAGATTATTTAGAAGGATTAATCTTAACCAAGTTATAGTATATGTTACAAGGGTTCCGTGCATATAAAGAACGCCGAAATCTGAGTTATAACGAAGAAGTTATGGTCGGTCGAAGTTTGACGGCAAAACCGGCACGGCACCGGAAAACGTAAATAGTAAATTTACGATAGAGGACTTTTTGGCCTTGATGATCTAAACTAAAGTTGTAGTATACGTTAAACCGAGAGTGTGCATAAAAAGAACGCACAAATCTGACTTCGTATGAGGAAGTTATGATTTTTCTAAGATTTGGCATGACAGTGCACAGCCCGAAACTCGAATTTTAGATCGAGCGGTTTTTGGCCGACACAACCTAAATGAGAATTGAAGATCTCATTATTAGTAGCGCAACGGTAAAAAGACAGACGAAAACAGACGTCGGATGAAGAAGTTATGAATTTTTAACGTACTTTTCCTGTCCCGACCTGTTAAAAAATATAACTTTAAAAATAAATTTAAAATTAGCCGACGGAGTCTAAACGAAAGTTGTAGATCATGTTTCCGCCTACGCGTGGATATAAAGAACGTAAAAAACGGAGCTTGTATGCGAAAGTTACGGATTTTAGAAGATAATTAGTTTTTTGGGTAATCTGCGAGTGACACGTGGCGCAATCTGGGCCACACCTTCTTCCCCACGGCTTGGAACGAGATGGCGACATGTGGCAACGAACGCGCTGCGTTCTCACCAAACTCAACCTATAAATAGAGGCGCAAATCTCTCATTTTCTTCACACCTCTCCACTTTTTTTCTCCCAAACACCCCCAAAACCCTCAAGGTTTTTCCCTAGCACCTCCAAGGTGTTAGAAGCAAGTCCCGGAGCGCTAGAAGGCTCCGAGAAGAAGAGCTTTCAGCTCGGAAGTTCTGCCCTCGCAGAGCCCGGTTCCTAGCCAAACCCCCGGTAAGTGAGATACGCTTACCCTACCTTAAGTATAGCTTTTGTTTAAATATAATATCGTTATTATGAACCTATAAATAAGATTTATCAGTGATTCAAAGTCGTTATACTGATTGATCTACTTACGGGAATGATGTCTAGGCTGTGATTTAGTGAGGTGTTTAAAGTGGAATTTCCAAACAGTATACTTCGTATACCAAACGGACCCTACCTCAGATATGATCATATCTGGTTGTTCCTTAATTGATAGATCATGAAAGTAGACTTTGATTTAATGATGAATCTAGACTAATAATTAGTCGAAATAAAGATTAGACTAAAACTTAGCGATAATAATGCTAGGTTTCGTCGAAGTAATATAGAATCGTTCGAAGCAAAGCGCTGCCCGAGTTTGGAATCATCACTTTAACAAGTGAGTGCATAGTTACTTTCATCTTACACATAGATATGAAGTAATTTATATAAATTACGTGCTATGTGTGCATATTGTCTGAATACTTGCTTTTTGTGTTGGATGAATGATTTTATACATGTTTTAAATTATTTAAATTGTATATGTATTTTATATCTACAAAATATGTTGGGTAAAACATGGGTAGATGAAATATGAGTTGGATGATGAGATGAGAGGTGATATAGACCATGAGATAAGGGTGAGAGGCGAACAATGAGAGAAGCCTTTTACCCAAGTGTTGGCCCCGTCATCTAGCAGAGTATGGATGACAACCACGGACTATTCTAGACAGTCTAGTGGAACACTAGCAAGCTCACAACCTGTAGGTGTTGTGAACGATGTGTTCACCGGTGTACTCTAAAAATCCATTGACATGTATTGCGAGTGGACTCGCGAAAACGATACTGTCAATAAACGAGATAACCCTAACAGCTGCGCCTCATAGAGAATGTCATAATTCTGGCAGCTGGGCATAAATGATAAAATTAGCAGTTGTGCTTGACAGCTATGTTGTAACATCCCAAAATTTAAGACCAAAAATTTTGTTTTGATTAATTAAAGACCGCTTAATAAATCTTGCTCAATCATTTAATAACATTCTTAATAAAACAATTATCAGAGTTTTAAATCCCAAAGATCATCTAGTGCGGAAAACATGGTGTGATGCGTTGCGATCGCCCCGAGCTCCTTCCTTGGAAAAACGTTAATACCTGAAACAAATAACTGAAAACCGTAAGCACGAAGCTTAGTGAGTTCCCCCAGATACCACATACCATACATATAAACTGTGACAACTCGGAACTTTTATCTCGTACACTTAGTCAATTCAATCTAAGTGAAACTGGATATGTTGACTTCTTGCACTGTTTGAGGGTTTGTTTAAGTGATTTTAAGATCGAGTATGACCAAGGTTGAGTTTAGGAACGAGTCAGCAAGCCATAGAGTGACAAAATCAGGCCATACACACCCTTAGGGGGAGTGTACGGCCGTACACATGGGTGTGCGGCCGCACACTCACCTCTTGGCCGCACACTCACTTGTTGACAACATACCTACTCCTATATATAGGGTAGACCCCCTTCCCTTCATTTCTTTCACTCCTTGGCAGCACACTACTCCTTCTCTCTCAAGATTCTTCAACCGCAAACCTTCCAAGGCTGCAAAAACGTGAGTAATCTATCCCTTAGCTTGTTGTACGTGAAGGACCACTTCATCTAAGCCTTGATTTAGCAAAGATTCATCATGTTCTTCATCATATGAAGGAGTACGGCCGCACACCTTCATAAAGGTGGCCGTACACTCCTAAAACACCCTCCAAAGTGAGAGTTTGACTTCCATATTCGAGATAGACATGCCCCTAGCCTTGTTGTACCTTGGAAATGGCATTTTTGGACATTTTGTGTGGGGTGTACGACCGCACACACCTGTGTACGGCCGCACACACCTGTGAACGGCCGCACACACACTTGTGCGGCAGCACACCCAAGTGTGCGGCCACACACTCACCTTAGGACCACAAACACACTTCTAGGACCCCTAACTTGCACTACAACGGAGAATAGACCTAGGACACTTCATGGATTGCAAGTATGGACCTCGAAACACCCCAAGAACACCTTCCATCATGGGTGTACGGCCGCACACCCATGGCCACACACACCTTAAAGGTGGCCATACACTCACCTCATGCAATCCTTTAGGGCTCTAACACTTAGTGCAAGTAGTCCCAAGTTCCTAGAGTGGTTCTCCATCACATTTAGTGGTGAAATACCTCCATTTGACTCCTTTATGTGTCATTGCATGTAATTTAGGATCAAATTGTGTTCAAGGCTTCACTTGAACATCCAGCGTGTCGTGTTGATCCTTCATTCAAATCACCCGAGGTGAGTTCATACCCCTACATTTTTCGTGTTTTTAATGTTTTCAGGGGGGGGGGGATACAAGCCAAACTCAAAGTGTTTTATTAAGTTTTAAACTTACTAATGCAGTCCACGATTTCCACGTTTAATAACATATTCGAATATTT